GCCTTGAAAAGGGGTGGATATATAAGGATAAATACTTAGAATATAGTTAGGGATTACGCTAGTTTATTAAAGTGGTAGTTATAGTTTTCTTCCAAGATCCATGACTTCACTAGCCCTGGGTAGTTAGGTAGATTTCAAGTACTAGACATTATTTTTCTCTTGTGGAGCAGGCTGTAAGTCCATCAAAGCTCAAGAGGCCTCAAATTAGAGAGCTGTTGGTTACTGCCAAGGTATACATGCCACTACTGCACCCCTAGGGTTGCAGTGCCTTGCTGGTCATTGTGTTTCCTAGGCATCATAGGTGGGGAGAGCTAGTGGTTGCATTCCTCCTTTGAAAGCCTATATGGCTCCTTCAGGGAGGAGGCTTTCAGATCAGATCCAGCTCAAGTGCTCAGATCCTGTGTCTGAAGTGCATGATGTCTTCAACAATAGGAACTTACCTTCCCACTCTGGAAGGCAACCAAGGGCAATAACAATGGCCTATAATGTTTTGGGAGTCTCTTGGCTGACCCTGACCAACAACTCAAAATAGGGCTTCTCATGCCTGTGGCTCTGGGAAGAGCATTGTTGGTGCAGATGGGAAAGTTTCATTTAAACTACTTATGTCTATGTATACACTCATTACATACATTACTCATTATCGTTATTTTTAGGTAGATAATAGTATGTTTCCTTATAACTTTCCCAGACATCCTTGCTGTTATTTTACCTTTTTTTGGGGGGAAGGGGATCGAGACAGAGTTTCTCTGTGTAACAGTGCTAGCTGTCCTGGAACTCACTTTGTAGACCAGGCTAGCCTTGAACTCACTGAGAGCCATCTGCCTCTGCCTCCCAAGTGCTGGGATTCAAGGTGTGCGCCACTTCTGCCCAGCTATTTTACCTTCTTTCTTGTATATTTACCTCCCTCCCCCTTCATAATTAAAGCCTCCCCATTTTTCCCATTTTCTCTTCAGATCACTTTTACCCTGTTATTCCCCTCTCTGTTGCTCCTCCACCATCACCCCATGCATAATGGTCCCTTTTAACTTCCTAATTTCTGCAGTTACTGTAGGTCATATACTTACATCTGAAGATTCGGAACCTCAGATGAAAGAGAACAGGAGACATTTGTCTTTCTGGGTGTGGGTTACCTCACTCAATAAACTTTTCTAGTTCCATTCATTTACCTGGCTAGATCCTGGAGAAAGAGGTGCAGGATATGGCTGGATGGAAAGGTTCAAGAGAGACATTCTAAATGTTGAAATAAAGATAAATTAAGGCAAGAACAGGAAAATAGGTGAAATTGCTTTCCTCTGTTTCTTTAGAGATAGGACATCTAAACATATAAACTTGGTCATATACAGACTGTCCCTGGGCAGTAGCTAAGAAACTGGCATGGTAATTACTTCTGAGAATGGGATTGTAGAGGATTAGGAAGTGGAATAATAAGAATGGAAGGAATACTTAAAAATTCTTGGACACGTTCTGAATTTTGCTTACCAGTGCTTGCATTACATATTGACATAATTGTTTTGCAATGTGTAACTTAGGGGTAGGTACATCAGAGATAGTTTTCTCAACCAGATTATCCTCAGACTATAAAAATACTTTGTTAATCCAGTTGTACCTGTGTATGGATATGTCTTAGCATCTAAGGATTAAAAGATCTTAGTCCCAGATAAAGATACATTTTATTATTTGATAGCTGATAATGTATTAGTCAGGGTTCTTTAGAGTAGCAGAATTTATAGAATGAAAATATTTATGTATATAAAGGAGATTTATTAGAATGACTTTCAGACTATGGTCCAGTTAATCTAACAATGGCTGCCTATGGACACAAGGTCCAAGAATTCAGTAGTTGTTCAGTCCATGGATGTCTCAACTGGTCTTCAGTATATGCTGGAATAATGAAGAAATAGGCTCTAATGCCAGTGAAAGAGTGGACTTGATAGCAATGTGAGAACGAGCAGATAAAGAACAAAAGCTTCCTTCCATGTCCTTATATAAGGCTTCGACCAGAAGCCTATTAGATCTGGGTTAAAGATCTGGATTAGAGGTGTGTCTTCCCACCTCAGAGATCCAGATTAGAAGTAGATCTTCCCACTTCAAATTAAGCAGAAATCCCTCACAGGTGTGCCCTCCATTAGATAATTCCAGATGTAGTCAAATTGGCTACCAAGAATAGCCATCAATGATAATATATTTAAAATATCCTAGTTTTCAGTCAGGTATGCTGGCACATGGTGCAGTCCCAGCACTTGAGAGGCAGGAGCAAAAGGATTGACCCAAGTTTAAAGCCAACCTTTTTTACACATTGAGTTCCAGGCCAGTCAGGACTATGACCTTGTCTCTAAAAACACAAACAAATAAAAATGTTAGTTTCTTTTGAGTACAGCAGCAATACATTCATTTAGAACAACCACTAGAAAAGGAAAGAAGGAAAGAAAGATGGATGGATAGAGAAAATAGTCAAATGTTTTCTGCTTCTTAAACTATAGGACTTATGACAGAGATCAGAGATAGAATGAAAGAGACTTAACAGTAGTAAGGGGTTTCTTTTTTAAGACTTCTGCTTGTCAATTACTAGGTAACTATACAAGTATAAGAGTTCTTGCATCATATATCCTATATAAAGATCACAGCATTTTATAACCATATTGCTGCTTAGAAACTGTTCTGGATCAAAACTTCTTGTTGTGTGTGGATGTTTTGCTTTCCAGTGATCTTAACCTGGTTTTTCTCTGAACAATACTTAGTTAAAGGGGCATATTTCCACAAAGTTATAGCCCTATATTTTTTTCAATTTCTATTGAAGAAGAAGCTGCTGTTTTGGGGGTTCTATGCTGCTTCCCAATGCCACAAGGAAGGAAGAAGAAAGGGAAGAAGGGGAGAGGATAGAAGAGAAAGGGAGAGATACAGAAAGAAAAAAGGAGGTGTATTACCACCTTATGGTAGAAAAAGCATTTGAGGACTGGGCATATAGCTCAGTGGTAAAATGTGTGCAAGGGAAAGGCCCAGCAAACAAGAGAAATTTTATAATAGGAATCTCAGTTGATCAGTTGAGATAATAGCCTATCTACCATCTTGAATTGGTGTTATATATAAAACCCCACCAAGGAAGTAAATTAAGGAAGCACATTTTGTTCCCAGTTTACTGAAAAATGTTTGAAATCAGAAATAAATGTCTTTAGCTCTACTTAAATTCATTCATGTATTCTTGTCTTCTTGGAAATAAATGGCATCGTGCCCAGGAGCAGCCCAGGAATCAGAATTGCCAGGTTACCTCTGAAGGCGGGGGAAAACTTGAAGTGTCCTTTGTCTCCCTTAGGATCCTTACACTATAGTTTAGGGCTAAAATATGTTGGTCACAAGTAAATACATGTCCTAGAAACCAATTACGTTGTAATTCTATCAGCACATCTAAATGGATAGGTATCTTAATGAATTGTTTTAATTATAAGGATATAGTTCAATCCTGAAATAACTTAGCAATGCAGATGTGGTTACAGGACCTCATCCTTGATGGTTGTTTGAGAGTATTAGTGTAAATATTCAAAAAGTATAAGGTGAAAGCTGAAGGTTTTAATGAGTGTGGTTTGGATTAATTAATTTGTGTGTTTTTCTTTTCAGTTTGTGGCAGTGGCAGGCCACTTTTGGTATACTCAATATTACTCTGATTTGTTGCAGCACAAGAATTTGGAAGAGTTGAAAACAGCTCCACTCTCCACCTTATAATTCCTTTAATCCTTTTATCAAGTCTTTAGCTTTTACAGTAGAATTCCTAGAAGTCTTTGAGTATTTTGTACATTTATATAAAAAATAAAGAAGCCAGGAGAGTATTATTTTCTCCTTATAAAAGGAAGAATCAAAGAGACTATAGTTACCAGATTGAAATTTTTTAATATTTAATTATTTCTGATTATTTTCTAAAAGAAGAGAGAGAGATAATGCCTAGTAAGACTTGATCATAAAACCAAATGTAGGCAGAGTATCAGAGTAGGAAAAAGTAAAAAAGAAGGAAACCAGTAACAAAGTAGTTAATAGAAATAGTATCTCCCAGCTTTACATTCTCGAATTGAAGTGTTTTGTATTCTAAAACTCTTAATCTCTCAGATATTCTGCAGGTCAAAACACATCCTTGCTTGGAAAAATCCAAGTGTCAGAGGACAGCTACAAAGTAGTACGACGTATGACTGGGTTTCAACCACTGCTTGTGAGAAGTCTTGATGACATAAGGATATATATGTATATATCATATGTGAGGATGACTTGGTTTCCATCCACAGTCACCTTAGCAGCAAACATTTGAGTGGCGTCTAATGGGTCAGAATTAGAGCTTCTCTGTCCTCTTTTTGTGTCATTCGTCACAGGGGAAAACATTCCTATGTTACCAGCTAGTTGTTTCACTTCTTTGTCTGCTTGTACTTATCTTCTAGACAGAGTCTGAAAAAAAGAGGTTGGGGAATGGAAGAAAAGGTTTTAAATTGTTTTCTGGCATCTGGCAAAAGACTTGAGTAGAGCATGTCTTTTGGCTCTGATAAACGCTTGTAAGCAGACGTCTAATGAGGTGAGGCTAGTGTTTTTAATCCTCTAATCAGGCTCTATCTTTCTCTGACTTACTTTCTGAATCCTGTCTCTAAACAATAGCATCAGTGTCTATCTTTGGATGTGAGGTTAAGTGAATACAGGTCTATCCTCAGTTTGAGAAGAGTCCTGAATATGAAAGGTTAATACCACCATTCTTACAGAAAAAAGGTCATCCATTGCCCAAACTGGGAATCCACAGAAAATGCTTGAGCTAATCAAACATTCCTTAATCAATTTTCCAATCACTTAACTAGTCTATTCATGCAACTAGTCACTAGCCACGCTCTGTTTAAAACAGCCACCACTAATCAGAATTGCAGTTTCTCACCTATGAACTAACATTAATTCAGTTATTTTGGTTGGCATATTTTCTCATGCTTATGGGCTCATTTGTCTGGATATTTGAAATGATGATCTTGTTTGTATTACAGAGCTCTTATTTGGAAGACAGTGAGTCAGCAGCATTACTTTGCTGTGAATGTGGAGAATCAGAAATCTTTAGTGATTTCAATGTACGTAGGTATATGTTTTTATAGATATACAAATAACATGCAGCCTTTGGTAATTAATTAAAAACTTTTGGGGTGGTGGAATTGGCTCTTGATGCATCTAATGTAGTGTCTATTATTTCATCTATTGGCCTTACTCAGCCAATAGTATAGGAAGACAAACAGGTGACTCAGAATGTGTGTGTATGTACTAGTATATTTATAATCTACAACTACTGTGCTACATTTACATGCATAATAATCTCTACTCAAATCATATCTATCAAAGTAGTAAAATGTTGCACCCTGGAACTTTTAATGTATCTCCTTCTATAATTGTCTATAAGACTATAATTGTCTTTGTTTTTTTTCTCCCCTCATGGATACAATTTGTTGTTGTTACTAGAGACCTTTATTACACCATTGGCAGAAGCAGTAGATCCCACAAGTTTTTCTTTTTCTTTTTTCTTTTTTGTTTTTTGTTTTTTGTTTTGTCAAGACAGCGTTGTAATGGCCCTGGCTGTCCTGGAACTTGCTTTGTAGACCAGACTGGCCTTCAACTCACAGAGACCCACCTGCCTCTGCCTCCCGAGTGCTGGGATTAAAGATGTGTACCACCACTGCCATTCCTTTTTCTTTTTTAATTTATTAACACATGGACTCAAATTTGTGCTGTTCATGTACTTCTGGATGCAGGGCCATCCACTGCAGCTACCAGGAGCTACAACCTTAAAGAAAACTCTCCCTCCCCCACAAACCATCAACTGTCCACAGCTCCTCAGTTAGGGATGGGGGCCTATGAACCCTTTCCCACCCCTTGCTCGAATGCTGACTGGCTTGAACTTGTGCAGGTCTTGTGTAAGCAACCACAGCTGCTGGGAGTTTGTGAGTGCAGTGGTCCTGTCATGTCTAGAAGACATTTTTTTCTCTGGTCCTCCCCGACCTCTGGGTCTTACAACTTCCTCTTCCAAAATATCCCCAGCCATGGAGAGGCACTGTGATGGAGATATCCATTTGTGGCTAACTACTCTATAGTCCTTACTCTCTGTACTTTGACCAGTTGTGAGCTTGTGTACTAACCATTATCCATTTCACAAAGAAACTTCTCTGATGCAGCCTGAGAGCTGCACTAATTTACCACAAGAGAGATACTAATTTAGAAGGAAGTTTGATACTGTATTCATTCATATATATTTTCTTTAAAAAAACACATTTATTTCATGTGCATGAGTATTTTGCCTACATGGATGTATTTGCACTATGCATATGCCTGGTGCCTGGTGCCTGCAAAGGTCAGAAGAGGATGTCAGATCCCCTAGAACTAGAGTTATAGACAGTTGTGAGCTTCATGAGGGTGCTGGGAACTGAACCCAGAGGTCCTCTGCAGCCGTCTCTCTAGCCCCTCTTGCATATAGTGTTAATAGTCAATTGTTTCCCTTTTCCAATAGCACCTGCTTGGTATTGGTGCTGCCACTGGGCCTTTATTCCTTCCTTTTACACTGTGTCCTGACTATTGAGAATATAAAGCCAAATAAGGTTATTATTATCAGGGTATAGAACATTAAGCTATATTTCATGAAATGATATGTATCTTATTTATTCCAGCTGATCCTTAGCATAGTTCCTGAAGGAGTCAGTCTGGAATTGGAGAATGGTTTATTTTTATGCATTGTGGTGGGCAGTAACATTAATCTGGAGATTCTCAGATACAAGTAGATTTCTCTTGAATGCTGTAAAGCCTTGTTGCTCATACATATTGCTGTACCTTAAATGGCTTCTGGAAATATCTTGGAGGGAAGGAAATGAATACATGAGCTGTGGGTAGGGAAAATGAATGAATTGCCCATTGACTCCCTGTCTGAAAAAGAAAAGAAATCCTTGGTCTCTGCTCTCTGCTTTTCCTGTAATCCCAGATACCTTTTCTTGCCTCCCTAAGTCTTAGTGCTTTTTGTTATGCTCTTCTTTGTCATAAAGCTTGTGCAGATTTGGAGTGGCACTGGGAGAAAAGACTTTATAAAGGCATATTTTGTGATTGTCATACTTACAGGAGACTGGGCTACTCTTGTCAAACCAGCCCCAACTACCATTTTATGAGTGAACCTAGGTGACTTGGTATCAAATTGAAGCTTAGAAACATGGCAATCATTTTTCCCACTTAGAATTTGTTCTGTATCTAGACTATGCCATAAGTCCTACTTATTAAATTCCAAAAATTGTCATTAGTATAACATGTTAAATTACAATATTCTTTGAATGGATTTTAACTGATCCCCTCCCCGCCACACATACACTTTCACTAGATTTGATTTCTTCCAACACATACCTGTGACTAAAATTAGGCCATACAGCTAAGTTCTATGTGTATCAGATGTTTATTGTAGGACATAGCACTCACAGAAACAACATATCTTGGATTGCTTCTCAGGTTTATGTTACAGCACTCCTTCCCATTTATCTTCATGGTACAGTTTTAGGACCTTCTTTACTAATTATATTGACTCACCTAGTTGAACTTCATTCCATCTTAATGAAGCATCTAGAATGGCATGAATTCAATTATTGTGACTCATAAATAGCTGGAGTGGTGCTCATTTCCTTAATGCTTACAAACATTAACTGATGAATCCACACAAACACTCTTTTATCACCTTTTGCAGATGACAGACTGAGTGTGGAAAGGTTATAAGATAGTTCAGTGTTTTGTGATAAGCAGGGACAGCACTGACATCACATCTCTGCTGACAGCTATTAATAAGCTCATTGCCAGAGAGCAGAATCATTGATAGATTGTGTACCAGGCTTCTATATAGTATCCTACAAGATACATTTTGTTCAGTGTGTGATGAAATCCTCTCAACTTGTACTGGCTTATTGTTTAGGCTCTCTTTCTCTCAAATCAGTACATGAAAATCTATTAAAAATATTTAAGTATGTTGGAAAAGGGTGGTTCTAGTTTTAGTAGTTTTTCATCCTTGCAAATAATTACTTAGGTGTTTGTATTTACAGGCAATTCTGGATTTCTTTTCCCTCTTCCTCTTGCTTATACCCCTCTCCCAGTAGTATCTCTGTAGGCCACTCAGACTGTCTTGGAACTTGCCATATAACCTAAGCTGGCCTCAAGTTTGTAATCTTCCTGATTTTACCTCCTCAGTGCTGGAATTACTGACAATTATTTTATAGCCAGACCTTTCATTTATTTGAAAAGTCAGGTTGTGGCCTTGCCATATAGGCCTAATGATCTAAGTTTGATATGCATGGTCCATAGTCATCCTTTGAACTCCATACACAGGCTGGTAAATGCATACGCCTACACAATAAGTTTATGATTTTTCCCTTAAAGAATCAAAGCTATGAGCTAAGTGTAGGGTATACATCTATAATTCCAGTACTAAGAAGGTTGAAACAAGAGACTATTGAGTTCCAAATCAGCCTAGTCTATGTATCAAGACCCTGTCTCAAATATATACACATAGGGCAACTGGACTGATACTTTTTTTTTTCTAAAGATTTATTTATTATGTATACAGTGTCCTGCCTGTATACACCAGAAGAGGGCACCCGATGTCATTATAGGTGGTTGTGAGCCACCATGTGGTTGCTGGGAATTGAACTCAGGACCTCTGGAAGAACAGTTACTGTTCTTGACCTCTGAGCCATCTTTCTAGTCTCTGGACTGATACTTTTTTGTTATTGTTTGGTTTTTGTTTTGCTTTGATTTTTTTGAGCCATGATCTCATGTCTCCAAGGCTGGCCTCAGATTCCCTGTATTGCCAAAGATGACTTTGAACTTCTGATCCTTTTGCCTCCACCTCCAGAGTGCTTAGACCACAAGCGTGCAGCATGGTGCTTGCTCTATGCACTGCTGGAGATCAAATCTAGGGCTTTGTGCATGCTAAGGCAAGCACTTCACCACCAAGTCACAACCTCAACACTGGGCTGGCTAGAGTCATGCTTCTTTATCTTTCTCTAGTAATATTAGATCCTGGGGGCTGGAGAGATAGCCCAGCAGTTAAGAGTACTGGCTGCTCTTCCAGAGGACCTGGGTTCAATTCCTAGGACCCACATGACAGCTTACAACTGTCTGTTAACTCCCATTCCAGGGTATCTTCACACACGCATACATGCACATAAAATAAAAACAAACCTTAAAAAAACATTAGATCCTATTTTACTCTCAGGGAGTATTTCCCTCCCACCCCTTTCTGCCCTTATTCCTACTCCCGTATCAAATGAAATTTGAAGAGGTCCTTCCTAATTTAAAGTCTTGGGCTAAGGATATAGCTCAGTGGCAGGGTGCTTGACTAGTATGTACAAAGTTCTGGTTCAGTTCTGAGTACTGCACTTTCATGCACACAAAGTCACAGTTCTCTGAAGATTTAACATGGGGGCAGGGGAATGGTGTTATTTGTAGAGCAAACATTGAAATCCCCATTATTTAACTTTCTCCAAGGGAAGTGATATGGGATCATGATAACTATTTGAAGTGGAAGTACTCATATAAAGAGTTAGATGATAAAGTCAATCACTGAAAACCACCTATCTGTAATCTTGGGGTAATAATAGTATGAACTTGGAGCCGGGCGGTGGTGGCGCACGCCTTTAATCCCAGCACTCGGGAGGCAGAGCCAGGCGGATCGCTGTGAGTTCGAGGCCAACCTGGGCTACCAAGTGAGCTCCAGGAAAGGCGCAAAACTACGCAGAGAAACCCTGTCTCGAAAAACCAAAAAAAAAAAAAAATAGTATGAACTTGGTTAGGTGTATTCATTCATTCAGCAATTGGTTGACTCTTACGTATAAATCACTGGGTAAAGAGTTATGGAGATTGGACATAAAATACAGAATCTCTGCTTAGAGAATGTATAATCAACGAGTTAGTTTTATGGATGGTTATGAAAAGGAGAGGGAAAATCATTAAGTGTTGTATATAGTAAGAAGAGAAGAAATTTAGATAAATGGTAAAAAAAAATTTGACCCGAAGCCAAGTTGTCTAGAGTACTGACTGCCTTAGATCTCATGGGACCTTC